GATATCCTTCTAACAGTTTAACGGTAACAAGCAATACAAACTACTACTGATCTACAGCGTCAATCCGCTCTTGTTTTACCTCTTTGTAGGTCCAGGTCAGGGTTTGTACTGTTGACGATGCAGTCAGCGTCCTCCTTGGTTATGTCCCCTTGTTTGATCTGAACGTTGAGCCGTCCAATCTGAAGTCCGTCCGATTCAGTCTCGGATACCAATGAATCTTCAATACAAGTTAAAATGTATGTATTCAAATATAACTGAACAATTTAATGAACGAGATACTGTCCCTATTTCAACAAAAGAACAATAAATGGTTTCCCTCAACACAGAAAACAAAAGTCTCTGCATACCTTCAGTGCTCAGTTGTTCAAAGAAAGAACGGCGATCCTTTATCCCAACTGCTGGCTCAGTTATCTCTCCTGTCTCCATTTGTCTTTTATACTTTTCAAAGGCCTTTGTGAAGGATTGAAAAAGAAAACACATACATACTCTTTGAGTACAGAAATAACACAAAATAAAATATATTCCTTGTTTAAGATTAAGAATCTCCATCGAGTGTCTTTTAATAACAGTATGAGTGTGAGATTCTATCAGGTCATCCCGCATGAATCTTCGACCTTTTTATGGTAACTGGTGACGTCACAAACTCACAATGACACGCAAAGCGTTGTGATAGAATGCAATTACAGCCTTATCTCCTTTGCAACTGTGTACATAGTCTGAACCATGAAATCAGTTGCAGAGCCAAAGTTCCCAATGTCAAGGGTTAGTAACGCAATGGTTCGTCATTTGTCATCAGGTGTTGTTTTCTAACACATGGAAATATGTTTGATCACACCCATACTACATCTCACGCGAAAGTCAGTTTGGAATGATGGAATAATAATAATAATAATAATAATGCTGTAATTATGTGTTATCTCTTACCTGGATGACTTGTTTGTCTGATGGATAAATCACTACTCGAACTTCTTCCAGTGCGGTGCTTCTCTCTTGAAAGTTATTGACAACTGTGTACATAGTCTGAGCCACGAAGTCAGGTGCATAGCCCAGGTTCCCTGTGCCTAGGGCTGGGAAGGCAATGGTTCGGCATCCGTCATCAGAAGCTGTTTGCAAACACTTCAGAATGATATTCTGAAGAACCTGTTCAGGGGAAAGGCAATATGGAGAAAAATACATACCATCTTAACAAATACCATCTTTCATGAATGTCCACAAATAGATTCTTGATATGGTTGCTATGTCAGATAGGATTCGAGCCTCTTGAAAAAATTGGGGTGTCATCATTTTTAGGAACAGGTATGTGACATTTTAGCCCCATTGGGGTTGTGGTCACTGAGGAGATGATGTTTCAAGTGTGAAGCTTTACGAGCTTTACGAATTTACAGGCATGGTCAAAGTGTAAAAAATAGGATCAAAGTTTTGAATATCGTGAAAAAGGAACCTATGTTTGGAGCACCACTGCTAACTAAACGTATACCAAATTTTATTTTATTATGAAAGAACATGTTTGAATAATGGCCATAAATAGCTTTGCCAATATGGCTAACGAGACGGCCATAGTGAAAATCAGATTAGCTCTTGAACAAATTGGGCTGTCATTGGTGGGAAGAAGCATATGAAAGTTCAGTTTCACTGGAATGGTTTCCAAGGAGAAGATGTTTACGACGGACGACGAATGATAGCCACTGGTCAAAACAGGACACGACATAAGCTCACTTAACTTTATCAGGCTAATAAACCAAAACGGCTGAATTGTTGGTTACAAAAGACGCTTCAGATTCAGAGATACAAAAATAACTGGGTTAACTTACATCAGAACTAGAGGCACTTGCAGTGGACAGACAGGCATGATACACACGACATCCCAAGTCTCCTCCAGAACTGACAGCAACATCTCCCGGTTTTATTCCTTGGGGATACTTCACTGACAGCTCATCCTGTATTGTGTTCCCTGCAGCTTTCAGAATCGACTTGGACACAGCTCCGTTGTTAAGATCAAGGTTGTTGGACGTTGAGTTTATGATAGCATCAGCCTATTGAAAATGCTTGCTGATTACAAAAACTTTGAGACTGCGATAATATGAAATAAAAAAGAAGGTGCTCGGGCGTGTTTCTGTGTATATCTACAATTTCAATGATCAGATAACATCTTAGTTGACTTACAATAGCAACACAATAGTAAGACCGTTTATACTGATTGGGAAAGCTTAATGTAGATGCCAACATGAGTACCCTTATTACTGTTCCTTCACTTCATCATCCATTTAAGACTTCTAATACATCACGCAAAGCATTGCAATTGAAAGACACGCACTACACAAGACAGAGCGATCATCATATTACACAGCTTAGCACTTAATATACCATACTTACTTTTTGTTTCGCAATTTCGCCTTTGACAATTGTCACTTTGCTGTGTGAAGATGCTTTTTGTCCTTGAGTTGGAAGGACACCTTGTGAGAGAAAGAAACACAGCCACCATGTACTAATCAAATCAATATTCAAGTAACATGATGTCAGACAGGGAATTGTCTGTAAGCACCCTGAGTGCCACAAACACTGACTTGTGTGCACATTCTAAGTGAAGGTAACTCATAAAGACAACCTTGGGTTGCCAGAACCGTGACTATGCTCGTAGGTGTAATGATTAAACACTGAATACCGTCAAAAACAGCTTTAAAAGGCCCAAGTAACTCAATATTTAAAAAACTCATAGTTGAGAGAGAAAGGGGTGTGTGGTGAAATGAGGTTTAGCCTTCTAGATTATTGCGCTTATACAGCTATGGGCATGCATCTGTTCGTAGCTGCCGGTACTAGTCTGGACTAATGCCCATTTTATAGTGCTAGGCAACTTAGATAACATGCTGGCGTGTATCATGAAGACCCCACTCAGGCACAGTATAGTGACTCCAGGCTGAGCAGTCCTTGTTTTATTCCCAAAATGCTGAGCACCATGCAGGGTAACAACAAGTACCATCTTTTAACGTCTTTAGGTATGAAACACCAGGGGATTGAACCACCGACAAAGAAAGACGCTGTATCAACTAGACCACGGAGGCGGTCACTAGAAAAAGAGCTAGTTATATTACATATCTTAAGCTTCGAACAACTCCAAAAAATATTTACGGACACCACCAGTGACTGGTTTGGGTTTTGTAGCTATTGGAGGGCGTAAATCAGTTGTATTGTTGCTCTGTGTCAGCGCCACTCTTCGATCACTGAACACGAACTGTAGAGCCTCGGCGAACAGCTGGGTGGTTTTCCCGCTCATGTCAATCAGGTACACATTCGTCACGCCGCTGTTTGGACTCTCCAGAGTGAAGAATTTCTTAATGGCCTCAACAATGTGCCTGAAAAGAGACATGAAACTAATCATCTAGAAATAAGGATATTGACTGTAGTTAGATGTTCCTGCAATAGAGTCCCGAAAACACACCATTCGTGTGCATATTTACTTATTATTTGTTATAAAAATAGCATTAGAATAGTATGTGCATATGAGTTAAAATGTGGTTTCTCATTTACGAGACTAACATACACTTGAGGATTTCAATGAGTTCAACGTTTCGAGTTGATGGCAAGGTTGATTTGATTTGGTTGATGAACGTAAGTATCATGTACGAATGACATACACAACTTTATTGACATGAATGCATATCTCATTCACCTGAACGTTCCCAAGCACATAAATGATATAACTGGAATATCAAAGTGGCGTAAACCACATCACTCACTCACTCACTCACTCACTCCACAACATACATGTCAAACGTTTTGAAATATTATCTATTTCAGTTAATTGAACAAACTAAAAGGCATTTCGTGACGTTGTTTTAGACATAATGCATTTGTGAGGTACACTTTGTAAAGACACAAGTCTAGACGACACCATTCAGTCTTGATCTTACCTTGTAGCAAGATTTCCTGGGTACCCAAATATCCCAGCACTAAGAGCAGGTAACGCAATAGACTTGTATCCATGTCTGTCTGTCTTCTCCATGCTTAACATGATGGCATCTTTCAGGTCTCTTTCCTCTCCAGCATGACCACCAGACCAACACGGACCGACGGCATGGGCAACCATTTTACAGGGGAGACGTCCTGCACCAGTAGTTACAACATCCCCCGCTCTCAAAGCCTTGTTCTTAGCTTTGTTCTTAGTGTATTCATCACTCTCCCGTTGAATTGTAGGTCCACCTGATAACATGATGTTTATTGTAAACTAGATGTGAAAGGGTAGGAATCCTTGAAATTGCCTGGTATTGTTATCAGGTTGTGTATATTGACAAAATCACAACAAGTTGTTTGTATGTTTGAATTAATCATGTCCTATCACAACACATATACATCATAAAAACATTAAATAAAAACAATATACATACCCTTATCTGCTATGGCTTTTGCCAATCCTCCAATGTGATCTAACCTGTTGTTAGCTGCATTGACGATGACGTCAACCTCCAAAGCTGTGATATCACCTATGACAACATCAATTCTTCTTTTCGAGTCTATGTCACAGCTAGCGATAACTCTGGTCCCAGTTGGGTTTCTACCCCGTGGGGAAGAAGAGACTGAGGCAGGTATTACGCCAATCGTTTCGACTCTTACTTTGACTGATTCATCAAATGACGTTTCTATGATACATTGACTCTCTTTCTCTGTTAAGCCAATGCCTTTCTTCCCATTCTCAGAATTGATGAACCTTCCGATCCCAGACTTCCTGAGGGTGTGTTTCTTATTAATGACTTTCCTTGCAAGACTTGTCAAATCCTGCACAGCGTTGGTAAGGGCCTCCTGGCAGCCACTAACTGTTATCTGTTGTGCTGTCGATTTGTAGTCCAGTTTGCCACTGTGTTTCACCATGTCATGGCTGATATCATTGAGCTCGCTTTCTCTATACACACGAAGGAATCTGTAGACTGGGCTGGGCATTTTCACTATCTGCCTATACACCGAGTTCTGTAGGATAAAGTTGCGAACCTCCTCTTTGATTTCATTAATTGTGTTGTCAAAGGTAACAATTACAACATGGGAGGCCTTCCGGTCAATGTTTAGACTCACAAAACTGCCATATCTCGCCACTGCTGCTTTTTGAAAGGCTGCCCACTTGTCAGAAGACAAAAGGGAGGTATTTTCTTCATCAATTGGCTCACGATGCTCTACGATCATCTCTTTGAGCGTTCGCCCTAGAGCAGCACCATTTTCTTCCGTCGTTGCCATGACAATTACAGTTTCATTTTTGCTTTCAATATCCCATACTCCATTGATCTTCTTATCCTTCAGTTTGTTCATGACCATAGTCTTCACGTCCTTTTGATCTAGAAAGGAAACCAGTCCCTGGGAAAGTGTAAGTCTTTGTGAACTGTAACTCGTACATCTCTCATACATTAAAACTTTACACTCGTTGATTTCGTTCACTTGACCTTTGAAAATCATCTCGTTACGTTCGACATTGATGGTCACTTTCAAATCTGTAGGATACCGCTTCTCAATATCTGCTACATATCCATCCATCTCAAGGAGCTGGAGCTGAAGTGGCTTCAAATATTTGATCGGCTCAGTAATCTCCTTCTGTTTTCTTTTGAATTCGTTCTCTACGCCTTCTACAGTTTCCTTCACTTTGGTACCGACTTGCTGTACTTCTCTGGCATGACCGACTACTATCACCTTATGTTCTGCATCAAACGTATCAACGAGAACAGAGTTTGACTTGGGGATATCGGTCAAATTCTTCTTCACATCCCCCCACATCTGTTCAAGGGTTGTAAATTCTTCAGTTTTAAAGTGATCAATAAAACCTTTCAGATAGTCCTCTGTGTCTTTATGCCAAGATTTTGCTAGCTTGACAGCATTTGGGGCATCCTTGTTGAGCGTGCATGTCATCGTTGCAGAAAAGACAGATAGCCATATGATTTCGGCATGTCGCTCTTTCAGTCTCCGTTTGAGCTCCTCCTTATCAGTCTTTGAGGTTTGCAGAAACCTACATTTGGTTTCGTCAAGGTCTTGGACAGTAAATGGTTTTGGTTGTGTGTACCAAGATCCATCCGTATCCTCACTGCCTAGTCCAAGACATTCCATGTAAAGCGTCACAGTCAGTTTTGCACCACCAATCGTGTGTTGCTTTGGAAGGATTTTATCTATGGCTGAAACCAGAAAACACATATTCATCTGATTTCAGACTGAAGTTAGATCAATAAATGAAATATATATAATTTTATTGATGATGCAGCAAAAGTTCTGTTGCATCGAACTTTGATGACACAGCAGGGTATCGGGTAGGGGTTGTTGCTGATATAAACACGCCATGGCCCATGTGTCAGAACATGCACATTTTATTACCCCTACCAATTCTACCTGTACCATATGAGAGTACAGGTGTCGCAATCGTTTCAGGCTCCGCAACTCGCTGCGCAGTTTTGCGTCCCTTTGGCACCTCAGAAACATGATTATGGGTTCGAATCCAGGTCGACCCGACCTATACCACGTCCGGCTTTGAGCTGACACGCCGTGATAGAGAGATTATAAATAGTGTTTAACTCCACAGTATATCAGAAATCGAGTCTCACGCCAAAGTTGGCATTATATTGCAATGACATAAGCTCAGAGAATACAAGAAAGTAAACAGTTGCACTCAGCAATATTCCAACTACATGACGGCGGTCTGTAAATAAACGAATCTGGACCAGACAATCCAGTGATTGACGAAATTGGGATACTATGACATGCATCAACCAAGTCAGCGAGCCTAACCACCCGATCCCGTTAATCGTCTTTTACGACAAGCATAGTCGCCTTTTACGGCAAGCATGGATTGCTGAAGACCTATTCTTACCCGGATCTTCACGCTTTGTAAACAGTCAAAATATGGATAGGACTGCAATCCTTTAAACACTCAGAGGACTCCAAGCATTCGCTTCACTATCAACATTTCATATAATACATGTACGAGATGTTTGAAAGTCATAACACATAAATGCATAATTCATATAAAATAAGCCAATCATATCACACCAGGCAAGGGGCCCTGGTTGGCACAGTCAGCTGAGGGCAATAATTAAGTTGAGAAGTTCTCAATTAAGCTAGTCATCATTACGTGCTACATTGTACCCATGCCAGGCGGTATGGCACGCCGAATACCCAGGTTCGATTCCCGACATGGGTACCACGTGTGAAGCCCATTTCTGATGTCCCCGGCCGTGATACTGCAGGAATATTGCTAAAAACGGCGTAAACCCATACTCACTCACCCACCCACTCACTCACGGTATGGCTGTACTGATATATTGGTAGTGATGTCTCGATGTGTTTTCTATTTTTTTGGGCATGGGTGGCCCAGCCGACAGCTTGATTATATTTCTATATTCCTTTGAGGGTTTCACCAGTGGTAAATATCTAAGACATGCATCACTTCGGGCTTCCTCCACATAAAGCTGACACGCAGACACATAACTAAAATGCTTCCCAAAGTTACGTTAAACCATACGAATTCACTCACTACATCGAACAGATGAAATTTAAATTACCTCTATAATCCTCAAACTTGACAATGCAATACCCATCACCATTGTGCAAGGAGGCTGTAGCTGGGATTCCATCAGTGTTGCCAGATCTTATATTTTCAAAGTATAATTGCACAGTGTCTTCAGTCGACTCTGCCTTCAGTCCCCTTACAACCACACTGTCACATACAGGTACTTTATGAACCATGATGTGTTGTCCGCCAGACTTCCTTCTCCTGCACTCTTCTTGCAATCTTTCGAAGTCTGAAAGGTGAGATGATAAGGAAGCTATAATTGTTAATTACTATCAAACGATACCGATAGAATGTTGTTTACACTTGTACATAGATTGAGGTGAGGTGAAATTGGGTTTAACGTCGCGTCAAAGATTATTGCACTTATATAGCGACGTGCATGCACGTGTGTGTGTGTGGCTGCTTGTACTAGTCCGGACTGATGCCGATTTATAGTGCTAGCACACTGAGATACCGTGCCGATTTATAGTGCTAGCAGACTGAGATACCATGTTTAACATGAATACCCCTCTCAGACACAGTATACTGACTCCGAGCCGACCAGTCCTTGTTTTAGCCCCTAAATGCCGAGCGCCAGGCATGGAAACAACAAGTACCATCTTTTAACGTCTTTTGGTATGACGCGGCCGGGGATTCAACCCCGGACCTTCCGCTCTCCGGGTGGACGCTCTACCACTAGACCATGGAGGCGGTCGTAGATAGCTTGACGTTGAGTTCATTTAAATGTTTCATAATCTATCTATTTTCATCTTTAATATGTCTCTTGGTCTCGTGGACAGTGTCTACCAGCAAGGCACATCATACCAAAATATGGTGTTTGTTGTTACCCTGCCTAGTTAAATCAAGAACTGGTCGGCTCGAAGTAAGTATCTTGTTTCTGAGTAGGGTATCCATGTTAAACTGCGGCATGATATATCAGTTGGCTAGCACTATACAACTGACATCAGTATGAACTCGTACAAACACACACACGCACGCACGCGCAAATGCACACACACGTGCATACACGTTGTTATAAAGATGTAATAATCGTGAACGCGACGTTAAACCCCCTCACAGATTTTCTCCTCAGGTACAGATATTAGTGTAACCCGTTACACTTGTAACGATGTTAGAATAGTGTTGTAATAACGAAAAAGGGAAAACATGAGCTTTCGTCTTAATTTGAACACAACTAGGTGGGCATCTGTTGTATGAATCACTTCAATGTTACAATGACATGGATAAACTAAATTAAACCATTTCCTTATTCATAATAAATCTCGAGTCGATTTTACGATTTCGACTATCTTATAAGCATGTGCTTATGAATCACTACCAAATAGTGATGATACAAGGCGTTCGCGAATATTGAGTGAGTGAGTTGGGTTTAACGCAGCAGTATTAGTTATATCGCGGCGTGTCAGCTTAATGTGGGAGGAAAGCCCGAAGTGATGCAGGTCTCGGACGTTTACCACTTCGGTGAAACCCACGAGCATGGGTATGGTGCTGACAAACCTAGAAACATAATCGGGGTGAACCGGGATTCGAACCCACAATCACAGGTTTCTGGCGTGCCCAAGGGACGCAATTCTGCACATCGAATCTCGGCGCCTTAGACGACAGGGCCACACGTGCCCCCTGTTCGCGAAAAGATGAGCGTATAATTCCCTACAGGTGGCACCGGTGGAACAAAAATTGCAAAGGCAATATTCATTCATAGATTGTTCATCTAAAAAATAACCACGGGAACATACGGTAAAGTAAACTTGCAAACGGTATCGAACATTATACTTGTCCTCCATGTGTTTACTTTAAAACGTTTGGAAAGCTTTACTCAAGCCGTGAATATTGAAATGTAAGGCAGATCAAAGGACATTTAAGTAAGCGTTGTATGACGCTCTTTGAAATCTTCATAGGAAGAGCATGCTTGATTGTACCTCAAAGTTTGTGAAATGTAGACCCCAAGGGATGGAACTGCTATTTGACTTTTGGAAAGTGGAAGTCATCCTACTTGTCATACAGTCTTGGATAGATATTGTTACTCCGAATCTTTAAACATAGATCTTGATATGAAACAGATGAGACGGTTTCACTGGACTCTTTATATTTCTGATTCAGGTGGGTAAATCATAGGAAGAGAAGAGGCTATTTGAATTAGAACTGAACGGTATCAGATCAGATAAGATCATCGACATACCCGAAGCTTAAGATAAACTTCTTGCCCAAATTCCATTTCTTTGCCAATCCAAGCAGACTCACCACATGACTAACTACATGTACTGTAGTTCTTGTAGATTATACGTAGCTGCGCTACAATATGTATAATGTTATCTCTTACCTGGGAAATTGTGATCCTCAAAAGTTACCAATGCTTTCCCGGGCTCTTCCCCATACAGGACTTCAGTAACGATGCTTCCATGTGCCCGTGCTTCCATCAAGAGCATTAAGTTCTCCTTGTTAGTTGTGCTGCTCACGCCAGTCACAAGAAACCTGTTCTTGTAGCAAGGTATTGGGCGATGTAACTTCAGTGTCAGATTTGCTCCATCGACCTTGTGTTTCCTTTTCAGTACTTTTTGGACCACTGAACACAGAAATAATGAATTTGTAAAACAAGATGATATAATTGTTTTAATAGATAAGACCATTCGTGTGTGAACTGTGTTTAATCATGTTATAATAATTGAAAATAGTGCAATAATTGCATTGAACACTTTATTAAAGCTCATGCTTTACATTACAGACCCATAACAGACTCTGCTTGGATAATATGCATGTGTCTGGGAATGGCTTCAAATGAATCTCTGGTCTGTCCTCAGAGGTGTGTGGTTCGTTTCCCCGACGCATTACAACGAAAGATGGTATTTTTTGTTACCCTGCCTGACGGGCATTACGGGGATAAAACAAGGACTTGGACAAGGCTGGAGTCAGCATATTGTGAGTGACTGGGGTATCCATGTTATTCTGAGCCATGGTATCTCATCTGGCTCGTACTATTAAACCGGGCTTGTACAAGCAGGCACGCACACACGCACGCACAGACATACACACATCGACATGGCGTTAACGCCAAGGCACACGCAACACATATGACAAAACATACATGGACTGACGTTCACATTCACAAAACACACAATGTATACACATACACTAAAATACACACACACACACACGCACGCACGCACGCACGCACGCACGCACGCACGCACGCACGCGCGTACTATTAAACAACATTTCACCTCACCTTCAGTTTATTCTCTGTAAACAAACATCGAAAATCATTTAACATCGTCAATTATGTATTACAAAAACATAGGAGTCAATATTACCTTCTGGAGACTCAAACGTAATGAAGATGACATCATCCTTTCTTTCACTTCCTGTCACCGTTCCGCCTCCACTTCTATTAGTGTTTTCAAAGTAAAGTTCCAGAGTTTCAGGGTTTGTATTAGGTTCAAATCCCCGAACTTCAATAGTGCTCTGTTCTTGTTTGTCATCATCTTCATCGTCTTCATCATCGTCATCATCATCATCAGCAGCAGCAGCACCGGACGTATGGCAGGGGGGTTCCGTGTAAGCCAAAACCTCCACACGTTGTTTGTTAATCAGATGGGACTTCATTTTGAGGATACGTTCTGCAGCTAAAAAAACGATGGCCTCCGTTATTTCCATATTACACCGATGAAAATCCAAGGGACTAATTTGCCTGTCACTGTAGTATTGTTTTATGTAGATGGGGTTCCGAGTGTTATTACTACCAAGTGTTAATACGAACTTTTAAAAGTGTACACAGAAACCTACTTTCAGGATCTTTGAAGAAGACCAGAGCCTTGTTCTTCCCCTTCTTCATATCCACCTTAACCACCTCTCCCTCTCCTCCACCACTTCTCCGCCTGTTTTCAAAATACAGCTTCACACTATCCTCAGTCGTGGAGGGCAGTATACCTTTCACTTCCAGGATAGTGGGACAGTCCTCTGGTGTGGCTATTAATGAAACGATTAACATATGCATGAATAATTTATTTATAAATATTTCGAAAACCAAAATTTCAGATTGGTCACAATAGCTGGAAAATACCATGTAAGCATGTGGCCAATTAATTTTTTTCAGAGGTTTACAATACTTAGTTATAATGCTATGAAGGCCTCAAATCATATACCCGTTAAACCAAGGAAGGACTTCAATGTCAGTATACAACTCAGAACTCTTTAGACAACAAGCTACGACGAATTACTGATGCTCTGTCTCGAGTAAATGAATGATGTTTATCCCGAGCCTTTCGTGAAGGACCTGCACCATCCATTCACGAGGGATAGATCATCAGTACTTCTGAGTTAAGGGTAGGTAGAGTCCTATGTATTATTCATTGACATTTAATGAGAGAAAATGAAGAAAAATGAAGGCAGCCTTACGTAGTGTAATCGATTTGTGACGTCATGAACAATGGATGACGTCGTGTATATTTTTTCCACAGTCTAGCACTGTGACGACATATGACTTAAATTGACCTTGATTGAGACTTGCCAAAATACATATGCGCATATATCGGAAAGATATTACATTCGATTCTTATGTGTATTGTGCGTTCCTTGATCGAGATATCTAAATTGTGGAAGATGGTGTTCATTTCATTCTGTGACATCAATATCTTTTAACTTTTGTATCTGGTATAACATAGACATATCCAGTGGAACTCTCGAAATAATTGAGCCAGATATACCATACCTCTACGCTTCAGTTCATCCTGTTTGTGTGAGTCCTGGATAGGTTGGGGACCTGGGTGTTCAGAGGCAGATCGTTGTTGATTGGGTATTGTCTGCTCTTGGAGATGTGCCCCAAACAATTGGTGGGGAGAAGGTGCACCCTGTGGATGCATTTGGCGTCCTTGTGGATAGTTTTGAGCTCCTTGGTAGCTTCCTGGTGGATATTGTTCAGCTGGTTGATAGGGTTCTTGATAGTATGGTTGGAGTGGTGGATGATGGTATGCCTGGGGTTGATTTGGATGTAGGTGTGGTTGACCTGGTGTTGGATTTTGGTATGGTTCGCCTTGTATTGAAAATTGGTAGTGCTGACCCTGTGTTGGATGTGGTTGGAGTGGTGGATAGGTCCCACGTGGGTATGGGAAATAGTTATTTGGATCTGGTTGTGGAATTCTCCCAGGATTGCCATATTGAGGGGGTCCAGTTGCTTGAGGATATTGCGGGTGTTGCGGGTGTTGTAGGTGTTGCGGGTGTTGCGGGTGTTGCGGGTGTTGTGGGTGTTGCGGGTATTGCGGGTGTTGTGGATGTTGTGGGTGTTGCGGGTGTTGTGGGTGTTGTGGGTGTTGTGGGTGTTGCGGGTTTTGCGGGAGATTCCAAGGGTCATAATTGCATGGCTGTACAGTGTCAGGATGTGGATATGTCTCAGGAAAGACTGTCTGGATGTTCTGCGGAGGACCTACTTGGTGCATCTGTCGAGCAGGTCCTTGATGCATGTTCTGTGTGAATTCGACATGTTGCAGTCTTGGTGATCCACCAGGTTCTCTTGTTGGGATCATGTTCTGAAGAGCGTCCTGTGGCCCTTGATTTCTGGGTCCCTGGTCATTCTGTTGTGGGCCTTGGGGAATTCTAGGTGTCTCTGGAGATAACTGTGAGGATTGGCCAGCAGTCGGATGATCTCTAGTTGACAGATGCGCCAGATACCCACTACCAGGTGTCTGATATGGGGAATTTGATCCATGGCCTGGAGATACCTGGGAAGAGGGAGATTGGTCTTGATTGTTTGATAATTGGCTGTCCCCTTCGGATTGTTGCGATTTCGTAATTTGTTTTTGGGATGTTGGGGCTGTTTGAGCATGTGATGGTATTAGAAAATCGGAAACTGAGCTTGGCACAGGATCGTGTTTTGCTAGGGGTTGGGGGATGTTTGAGTTACATGGTGGACCTTCTTCCTTGATATTAGGTGTCTGGTCCAGTATAACATAAAAGCTTCATTAAGATATCAACTTTTTCACTACACATAATGGTTAATTAAACACATATATTTTTCAAACAATGTTCCTAAATGTTGACTTTTTGTCCCAATGAAATATTGTTTTGTCCTGAAAATATCAGGGATATTGTTGTCATACGTACAAACGTTACGACTGAAATTGCTACACATTTAATCACTGATCTCAAAGTATTTTTCATGAATAAATGACAGTTCTATTTTTTCAAATATAAGAGTTATCATTACCGTGCTGTAACGTGGAGGATCTTCCAGCCAAGGTTCGGGTATGAGCTCGTCGGGACACCTCACCGCCGATATTGTCGACACGCCTCCCTCATACCTACACTCTGACATCAGGTGCTCGGCCAGTATCTTGCGTGCATCTGTGCGATGGGACAACGAGAACAGGTCACTTTTCGTCCAATCAGTGATTCAACTTTGATACACTTGTACCAAGATGTTACAGAAAGACTTGTACCATGTATATGCACGGAAGGGAATGGGTACTTTGATAAAAATGAAAAAAATCCGTAAAAATGTATGGCGTCATTTCGACAGTTACAAGGCCATGCAGGGCGAGAGAATGAAATCCACTCACGTGCGCTTGCTTGCATTCCGTTTACGGCTCAATTGACAGCAAGTTGCTTTTCCATTGAGTTTTATGTGTGACGATCTGTTTGGCTTTCCAACTTAATTCAGTTTAATTTGTTTTTAAAACAGCAATAGGGGAATACTACTGGACTAAAACAGAAATAGAGTAGTATAGGTAATGATGGTTCTGGACCACTTCCACTGGAGCAAAATTCATATACCTATACTGCTACTAGGTGGCATTTTTTATGCCAAAATGATTATGCGATTCAACGATAGTCATGAGATTAAGTTAAATTGACTCCAGCTCACCACCTCCTGGAGCCAATGGTATAAATTTTTATAGGTAATGATGGTTCTGGACCACTTCCACTGGAGCCAGATTCATATACCTATACTGCTACTACAGGGGGCATTTTTTCTGTGTAAATGATGATGCGATTCAATGATAGTCATGAGTTGTATTGAACGAAACATCAATATTAATTAATAATGGATAAAATTTACTATAGCCCACGAGGATATTGGAAAGGTATAGGAGCAATAAAAAAATTAGCCACTGTGGCTAAGGTATCTAAAGATGTGGCCAAGGATTGGTTAAAGAAACAAGCGATGTGGCAGATATATTTACCGGCACCGCGTTATATACCGAGGAGGAAGTTTGATATTTTTACAACGAATGAAGTTCATCAGGCTGACCTCTTGTTTCTTCCCCATGATAAGGAAAAACGCGAAACGTATAAATACGCTTTAACAGTAGTGGATGTGGTTAGTCGATACAAAGAGGCTGAGCCATTAACCTCGAAAGATTCAACAGAAGTAGCTAATGCACTGAGCCGCATATATAAACGCGGACCGCTAAAATGGCCTAAGCTATTTCAAGTAGATCCCAGTCGCGAGTTTATGGGATCGGTAACTAAACTGTTAACAAAGCACGATGTCGAAATCGTCCTTGGTGAAAGAGAGGCCCACCGCAGTCAAGCTATCGTTGAAAGATTTAACCGGACATTAGCGGAACGTTTGTTTGGCTTTCAGTATGGGATCGAAATGAAATCGGAACGATTGAGATCAACCGAATGGGTGACACGATTACCAGCCGTTGTATCAGCGTTGAATAATGAAGTGACGAGATTAATAGGGAAGAAACCATCCGATGCTATTAAAATGAAATCCGTGACTTCTGAATCTTCAGCAACGAGGAGAGGCAAAAAAAGGGAAAACTTCCGGATAGAGTAAGGGTAAGATATTTATACCAGGCCGGTGAACTCGAAGGAGGCCTACGTCCCGCAACCGATCCCATATGGTCCCTTAAGACGTATGACATTAGTCGATTGGTTACGAAAGAAGGAGAGCCTATTCTTTATTATCTTCAAGATGGACTGGGTAGGGCATTTGTACGAGAAGAGTTGTTCATAGTTCCCGACGGTACGGTATTACCACCATAACCATAAGAATAGGTAGTTACACCATCATTATCAATCCATCTCTTTGTATCTAAGGGGGATAATGATGTCTTGTTCATTCTTAATCCATATATCCTGTGATTGTAACTTCTTAAAGAGTTCATCTCGTGTTTGAACGTTATACGGTTGAATAATGATTCTTTATACTGTTCGTGTTTGATATGCTTTTTTACCACATACTTCTTAACACCCTTAGCTTTTCTTATCTCTCCATTATCGGACTTCTTTATAGAATACATCTTAGGTCTTAATCCTACATACTCCGCTATAGGGGTCCCAGCACATTCATCCTTCATCTTACCTAACACCTTTTTATTTACTACGCTGTGCAGTGGATTATCTGTAGGATAATCGCTCGTGTCGTACATATATTTTTTTTCTGCCATATCTTTATACACATCCTCGGTTTGTATTTCCATCAACAAAGAATCTGTGTCGGTATATAACACTTCGCATCTATCGCCGTATTGCTTCTTAAGTTTGTTGTAATAAAAGTCATACATTAAGTGTTTTGACAAGTCGAGAATACTCATACCGACGTACACCGGTTTGTTGAATTTTATATTACTCTTCTGCATATGTAACGCGGCTAAGTCGTTATCGAATATCTTGCTTCTGTTAAGGCCGGACTGGCTATAAGTTTCCTGAGTCTTTCTTCCTCATTAGATCTGACTAATTTAACATCAACACGCTTCCTTACATTCTCCATAGTTTTACCAAATACTGAGTTATTCATGAGCTTATACAGATTCTTTTCCAAATCGCTGGTAGCTATCTTTCTTAAATCTGTGTTCAACCTTATATAGGGCTCCATCCAAGGGCTTTGATCAAACTTTAGAACTCTGTGTATTTTCTTAAGTTTCATACCTAACGATAGATACAACTGGAGATTTCTGTAGTGAACTATATATTTTGTCTTATCCATCAAAATTGGTACGAGTTTTTCTACGTTAGCTAACCTACTATTACCGATCAAGGAGTGTTGATATTCCGAAATCCAGTCTTTATTAACCATTAATCTTTCGGGAGCTAGCGGATAACTGTTATGGTCTTTATGTAAGGAATTTGGATATGCCAAGTCAACTTCTAGTATGTACCCTTTATTCGCATCATTATTATGGATATCATTCACATTTACCCCTTCAAAACCACCCGTGGGTAAAGGTTGACTCATAGCCCATCCGTACAAATTGTTAGTGTCGAGATATAATATATGAGTGTCGGGTTTACTCGGATCGTATCCTTCCACTAATTTATTATTAGCCTTAGAATACCTTTTAGCTGCCATCGATATACCACCTCTTAATCCTTTCTCAATAAACAAGTGCATATCGTAATCTGTGAGTAGTTTTAGTTCTACGCTGGTCTTCTTCAACAATGCATCCCACGATAGTCCGGGACTGGAATAGTACCATGCCGGGTCCAAGCCGTATTGTTTTAAACACGTCTTTCTAAATATCTCGAATATATCGGCGACTAACAGTACATCGGTTTTTAAGTACAGATCGTGATAATCGCCTAAATTCTTACAACCTAATTTATCCCAGACCGTCAGAGCGTGTTCTAGATTCTATTAAGTTACTATAGAATGATTCGAGGGGTGGTAATTCAGTTTCTTCAAATCTAGACCAATCATCCATATATTCGTAAGGATATACACCTTTTCTCAGCAACAAATGACGAGTTATCTTATCGGTATATTGATTTGTTATCGCAAAGTCATCGGGATTGTTCGCATTGGCTAAATTGTCCAGGGAAGATAACAGAAACTGTACGGAGTCTATGAATCTAAGCCCATTACTTTGCTTTATTCTAGATTTCCCATCCTTGTCCCTATAATGTATAGGTTTAGTCAACGAGAACGATATGTATTTTTCCATATTGTTAGGAATGCAGTTAAACCGCCGTCGGTCTTTGAGATAGCTTGCATAATGAGACGTGAATCGTATCCCCTAAGGTTATGAAACACAACGGGGATGGGTATTGTTTGAGAGTTCATTTTTAGTTTCAAGTTACACTCGTTATGAGCGGCTCCCCGATAATTACCCGTGACGTGACAATGATCTCTTACGGAATCCCCATCCGGGGGTTTATTACAAACGTGACAACTCGTTGACTTCTTATGGGCCCTCCAATCATCCCTCGTCATACGCATGGGTTTCTTACACGATAAATTTTCCCTGATTATTCTCTCTTCATTTTGTAGATATTCTAGGAACTTTCCCGCTGCATCGGGACCTCTGTAAATCACGGGCGGGTTTGTTTTCCCATCATACCTTACAACTATATATCCAAACCCACAAGGAATATGTTCTTGAGTTTTGTACGTAAAACTATTATCTTGATTATTATGGTTGGTATTTTCTATGGGTTTGATAATCGCTTCGAAGTCGGCGTAAATTACGTACGGTACTGGCATTTGATTACAATAATGTTCAAATTTTAATATATTTTTCCCCTCTTTAGGCATATCGATCCTGATAGCGGTCTGCCAAACACCTCTACAGTCTTCTTTATGCGCTTCTAATAGATCTTGTCTGCTGTACCCATGCAGGCATCTTTCGCAGAAATATTTCTTTATAGCATGTTTTGTTTGATCGTATATTAGCCTGTTTAAACTCTTTATCCACGTATAATGATATTTACCATCTTTTTCGATCAGAAATGAATTGATTCTGGGAATATGTTCCGGAGCGGAGCTTATCCTGTGTACAACAATTCCTTTAGAATGTCCGAAAACATTTATAGCTAAATTATTTTGCTTTTCCACCTTATCAATTTGTGATATTGGTGTAGGTTCGTCTATACCATCGAAGTTGAGTCAATCGTTTTGGGGATAGCTAGAAGGTCTATCCGGATGCTTGTCTACGGGGAACAATGCAGATCTTATCATCATTCTTAAACAGTCATCAGATTTATTTTTTACGTTAATTATGGCTTTTTTCTTCTTATAATATGGGGGTAAATCTATATAAGATCCACCTTTGAAGGGCATATAATTTGCTATATCTAAATATAAACTATCGATTTTATCCACACCCCAACCCGAACCTCTATTAGTCCAGCATTCTAAAGTTTCCTGTATCCTCTGAATTGATGTATCTAATGATGCGTTTATAGTATCGGATTCGGTTACAACTTCTTGATTGCTTCGGAAATATGGTTCGGTATATTCGGTGCTATCGTCTGTGTTACTTTTACTCAATAACATTTTAATCGTCAGCTGGTATTTTATACTATGTAAATCATCTAATTCCTCATTAATTTTAATCGATATGATGGGCTTAATATCGTTAACATCCATGTTGGAATTAATATCCATCTTCCAA